TATATACACATACACACAGGGCAGTGTATGGGTACTGTACTATACCCAGGGAGGTGAAGAATTATATTAGGCATGAGATGCTCACGATCAGTACAGATCACTAGAATGTAATACCTACATTACGTAAATATATGCTGTGCTATATCTTTTAACTGAGCTTCCTTTGTTGTAAAACCTTCTCCATATCAATTCCCAAATATTTTTGTGGCAACACTGAGCTGGAACCTGATAAATATTCCCCTGTATTAAGGAATTTATACTTGCTACCGAACGAAATTTCAAAAAGTCCCCGTGATACAGTCCCTTAAACGGTTTACCCACTGACTACTTTTTGCACCACATGGAGGTGGGACTTGATGGATGCTCAACCCTCTTCAGGTTGACGGTATCCTTGGATTCTCTCACTTAGAAAGTTTATGGGTTGATGTTTGTAGATCCAGAGCTCCTGTTTGCACAGCTATGTAAGTAGAGGCCAACGTATTTAATTTCGAACAAGGGACGTCTGAATTTATAGCATGGGTGGCTTCATCCAATTTCAGAAAGAGCACTGAGACCTTCATCCACTCAGTGATGGCAACTACTGCCAGCTTCACAATGACAACGAGAGGACAGCAAACTTAATCCGCACAAAGTTACTTGCAAGCACTGGTGTCGTCATCCAGACAATGACAGAAAAAGCTCCGGTGGTTTCATCCAAGCAGTTACGGACAGCAAGAGATGCTGGCTTCATGCATCCTTAGGGTACTTCTGGCCTCGTATGGGAACACCGGTGAATTCCTCCAAACTGCCCCAGTGAGGACCCAGGCAGCCTCATCCACCCAATGATAGTGAATGCTTCTCAACATCACCTAAACAATAAAAGTGAAAGCTCCGCAGGAATCATTCAGGCAGCAACAGCAAGAGAACTGCTAGCTTCATCCAAACACAGACAGCAATAGCTCTGCTGCATTCATCCGGGCATGGACAGAAACATCTTTGCTGGACTGAGCTGGGCCCTTTTTCTTTCTTCCCGGGGAAAGCTGTGCTTCTGGCTCTTCAGAGAAGTATCTGGAAACAAGTTATTCTCTGTTGGATAAATCAGGATCTTCACATTATGGACTGGTGCTCTGAACCTACAAGATGGCTAAAAAACAAAAAAATATATAGGTTTCCCCCGGTATGAAAAGATGGGTGAAAAGGAAGAGGGTGCTTTGAGTCATGCTTAACATGGTGCAAAGTTCGAATGCACAAATGTGACAGGAACACATCTTCACAGGGTCACGGGTTCAATTCCACATCATGCTCCATCAATAGGAACTGGCAGAAGGGAGGGTCAGCCGCTTTCCAATGTATATACTAGAAATAGATACACAACATTAAATTAGTTACACAATAAAAATAACTCAAACACATCAACATTAGAAACCAATGGCAGGACTGGATGGCACATGGCTTCCCGTCCTTCAAAGTGAATTGTAGCCTCTGTACACAATGGCGCTTGTAACGGTATGAAGGCAATGGAGGGAGCAGTGCGCAGGTGTCACCGGAAGCAACTACAAATCCCTAAGATCTTACTGCTTGATTGGAAACATTTTGTTCCTGCTACGAAGGAGACTAACTGAAGCAAGAATGTGCTCAATCTCTAAACCGTATATCATCAGATAACAATTCACAACATCCATCAAAACTAAAGCTAGCCATACAAGTGTAGACTTCCTCTCATCAGCCATCGGCCTGAACAAGAGGAAATCACTCAATTTACCAATCCATGCTAAACAATGTGGACAGAGGAATCTCCTCTGCCAGTTATTATGTTCATGCAGCCCCTGAATACTCGAACAGTGACAGCATGTGATAGGACGCAATGACTGCCAGGCCAAGAATATTCCTTCTAGCTCCGTCAATTTTTATATCTACTTTTGCTGAGCTGGATGGAGCTGAAGTGGGACCCCCATGGCTCGAATTTTGGCCGATTCAGCAGGAATCATCTGAAATTCGAGCCATGGATGGCTAGCTTTACCTTCAATAACTTGACATACTATGATTTCCAAAATCGAAAAGCATAGAATGATAAAATCCCAGGGATGCACCGATACCAGTTCAGATACCAGTGCTGATACTTGGCATTTTCATGAGAACTACCAGGGTTGCAGCCGGGACCTGACTCTGGCGCCCCATCATTGTCCTGAAATCATTAGTCTGTATTGTTTAAGAAAAACTGTCACATGACACGAAACAAAAATGTATCAGTACTCGTATCTGTGTGGACTTGGACAAGTATCAGTACTTGTACTTAAAGAAATGCTATCGGTGCATCACTAATATATATGTATAAAAACAAAATCATACATTATAACAGAGAAGTACAAATCCCAGGCGCTCCGTGTGCTCCTTACAAATGACAGCGGCCTCCTAACTTTTAAATTTTTCTCTAGTCTAGTCTTGGAGCTTGGAGCTACTTGTACGGAGTACGGTACTTGGTATCGGTGCATCCCTATAAAATACCATAGGTGACAGTCTAATAAAGTATTCAAAGTGTAAACCCTAAAACTGAACTTATATTTGCTCCCTACTGTTCTGTTAAATTAACCACAGAAAGCATTTCATTATGTCCATCTATGCAAGTGAAAAAATACCCATTGATCTTGCCAAAAATCCAGTGCTGTATATTGGTCTTCGTTGTTTCTGATCACTTATTTTCCCATCTCCCTATAGGAATGGACATCGGGTTTAAAATGGCTATGTATGACTCCGTATTGAATAAAGGGTAATGGGCGCTTGGCCCTGGGCAACTTCCCACCATGTAACATCAATACCACGCCCCCTAAATAACAATTCAAGAAAATCTACTTCAATATTGGTTTTTTTTTTTAGGTATCTCAACACCACTCGATACACAAATTGTCTAAGAAATTTAAAAAATAAAATGTTATTGGTACATGCAAAATGTCATGATAAAAGACAAACATGTACATTGTATAAAAAGTCAATCTCTTCACTTAGATCAGAAGCACTTACAGAGAACTCGCTGATAGAATAATTATATGCAGTTTCCAGTTTATAATAAAACACTTCAAACCCATGATTCAAAATGAATTAACAGAATCTATTAAATTTGAACCATGGGTTTGATTTGCATTGGTGGAATTGCAGACAGGAAGCAGTATGATGGCTCTGCACAGATCTAGCCCTACATATCTCTCACAGCCAGAGCTCTAGGCTGGGAGATGGCAACATGGATGATTGAGATACAAAATTCCTTCTGTTTATTCACTGTGATAAGAGGAATGGAGGTAGAAGACCACTGTGCTATTGACCTATTGGTATTCAAACATTGCTGAGAGATATTTTTAAAAATCATGAATAGCAACCTAAACACAATATAGATCAATGATTCTTATATGACTATAGTACAGATAATCTGAACATTCATTTTGCAGCAAAGGCAGCATAGTTATGGTCAGTGTCATCAGGCTTTTGTTTGCATCAGTACTGCTTCTCTACGCATACAAGATTATGGGAATGCAAAAGCAGCTTAAAGTGACACTAAACTCCGGAGTTAAATCTTAAAAATACACTCAAGTACCTTAACTAGTAACAAAATGTATCTTATTTGGGTATCACTCGGCTGTAGATCCTCAAATCATCTCTGAATTGGTGCCGACGCTATACTTCCTTCTGGAGGGTGACTACTTTTGTTCCCCATGGTCCCTGTGTGTGCTGTAAAGTAGTCACTGCTCCAAATTCACTCCTGGGATGGACTATAATCTCAATACAAATTATTAAACTAAATATGAGATTGTAGTCAATCCCGGGAGTGACCTTGGAGCGGTGACTACTTTACAACACACACAGGGACCATGGGGAACACAAGTAGCCCCCCTCCAGAAGGAAGGACAGTGTCAGCACCAATTCAGAGATGATTGGAGGATCTACAGCCGAGTGATACACAAATAAGATACATTGTTGTTAATAGTTAGGGTACCTGAATGCATTTTAAACTGCTGAGTTTAGTGTCACTTTAAAGCAGGTCAGAAGAAGGTCAGCTGCAGGTCAATGAATGATCTCAGGAATTACACAAACTGATGTTGAAAGTAAGCTGCATTTTCCCATTTAAGCGAACGCAAAGCCTGTTGACACAGATCCGTAGAACTCCGTTCGGTCCGTCTGACTTACCCCAGGCCCAATGCCAGAATATGAGAGATGAATAAAGAAGGGATGAACACTTTCAGGAACTCTGCAGAGAAAATGCCCCCTTTCTTCATGGCGCCGCTCTTTCTCATGCTCAGAGACACGGAGCGCTTGGGGTGGCGGAAATGAAATTCCCTGATAGAGAAAGAGGGGAGAAAACACAGGACATCACCACAAGAACCTGCGGCATAACTACAATAACATTATTACCAGGACAAATCACAGAATAAAATGCATATTTATCTAAAGTAACATTAGTTGTTTTAAAACATAAACTGCTCAACTTTTTTTTAATTTTGTTGGATCTTTTTGTCTTTAGATTGTGTAGAAAAAACGGAAGATTGTATACTTACCTTTCCATAATCTTCCTTTCCCGGTGCAATTATGGCAACACACAAAGGTGTGCTTAGATTTGGCTCTCTAGGTGCGTGCGCTGCCATGAGGCTCTAGGACAGTGGTCGCCAACCTTTCGGACCTCATGGACCACTAAATTTCAGAATTTTAAATCCCGCGGACCACTAATATGAATTTTGAAAAAATATAGATATATTCTCGTATTTTTTGTTTCCTCATATATAAATATATTCTCATATATGTGTGTGTATCTATATATCTATATATAGATATATAGATACACACACACACGAGAATATATTTATATACGAGGAAACAAAAAATGAGAATATATCTATATATACATACAGTATATATACACATACATACATAGGCGTGGGTGTGCCTGCAGGAGTGGCAGTGCTGGTGGATGGAGGGAGCGGTGCCGCAAGCCCCAGTAATAATATTAATTATTCCCCCCCCCCTATCGAATCTGCCACTGGCCCTGCCGGCCCCCCTAGCTTCAGCACTGCCACAACCATCCCCGTGCCTCCCCTTCCCCCACACTGAGCCACTATTACCTGGCTTCTCCCCACTTTTTCTATGTCCCGCAGCCTGCTCAGTCTGGGTACAGACGAGATGCCCCGCCTCCTGCAGAGCCCGCACTGTACTGAGAGCCGCGCATTCCTTGTGACAGCCTCTGTTTGAGTTGATGAGAGGCAGCCCCGGAGCCTCCGTCCCGCTTAATGACGGCCCAGCCTGAACGGCATCAGAGGGGCCCGGGGACCACCAAAATATTCTCGCGGACCACCAGTTGGCGACCGCTGCTCTAGGAAATCAGAAGATTGTATCCCTACCTTTCCATAATCTTCCTTTCCTGGTGCAATCATGGCAGCACGCAAAGGTGTGCTTAGATTTGGCTCTCTCTGTGTGTGCGCTGCCATGATCTTCCAGGATACCAGAAGATTATATCCCTACCTTTCCATAATCTTCCTTTCCTGGTGCACGCAATCATAGCAGCACACGCACAGAGAGAGACCAATTTGAGCACGCCTTTATGAAATGCCGTAATGCTCCAGGAATTACGTTTTACAGGACTATCCATGTTTTTGCCAAAAAAATGATATATAATATCTGTACTTCAGTATCATTAGTAATGACAAAGTTATTGCCTTGTTGATAGGTCCATGAAAATGTAAAAATTAGGGATGCACCGATATATCGGCCAAAAATTGCACTTTTGGCTAAATGCCGAAAGTGACATTTTCCTGCCGATGGAGGAATCTCCCGCTGGGCCGAGCTTCAGTATCTTGCTTGTCGGCCCCGCTGGCTCTCAAAATACCTGAACAATCTGATTGGATGCAGGCATGGTTTAGGTATTTTTAGAACCAGCGGGGCCGACTAGCAAGATACTGAAGCTTGGCCCATCGTGAGATTCCTCCATCCACACAGTTTAGCGTAGATGGAGGAATCTGTTGCACGTTTCCCATCTTGCCATAGAAAATCTGCAGATAATCTACAGGTGTATGGCCAGCGCTTCTGCAAAAAATCTAAATTTATATTGCTAAAGTGAACCCGTGGCCTGGCTATTGACATTCAAGTATGCGATCTTGCAGCCATCGCTGAGCTCTGTAGCTGTACGTACTGTGCAGCACTTCATTCTCAAAGATCACAGCAGAAGCACTGAAGTCATTTAAGTTTGCTCTCTCAGCTGCTCAGCCCACAAACTCCAGAGCACAGGTTCACTTTAACCTCCGTCAGCCTGATCTGAAACTTTGTAATCAAAGATTCCCCCTGACCGGATAAATAATTAAAGTGATATTAAAGCCTCCTTTTTTTTTAAAAAAATGTGCCCTACAAGGAGACCCACGTTTGCTGGAGGCTGTTACTGTTTTTCTTTGAAAGTTGTTAATTCCCTGTTTTCTAATGGGTCCCTGCAGGAATCTTCCCCCCCGCCCCCTGTATGGGTGCCACCATCGTTCTAATGGAGGCACCTACCTATGCGTGCTCTTGCCCACAGTGGCTGTATGCGTCCATAGACACACACAGCCCTGTGGCAGGCCACGCCCCCTTCTCTCTTTGATTGATGGCAGAAGGAGCCTATGGCTCCTCTGCCATCAGTATCCTCCCCCCGCAACCAGGAAGTATGGGGAACGGAGGATCGCTTCAGGACCGGCGGTGGGGACGAGCGAAGTGGGGACGAGGACCGGCAACGGGGCCATTTTTACCCTAATGCAGAGACCCTAATACTGCTTTAATTCAGCCAGATATATTTATAGTCCACCTCCAGACAAAACGTTATTTTGTTCCGGATAGAGTGGGGAAGAGATTGAGCCTTTGGGGAAGAGTATGAGACCCAATTGCGTCTCTACTGGGGAGTTTTAGGTGGCACAGTGAGGAGGACGTGAGAAAAAAAAAACCAAACACCCCAACAGGGTCACATAATAGAATGAACTGAAACGATAACTTTATATTTAATGGCTACAGTTAGATGTAATGGGATTTATATATTTTAATCCATTTATTTCTCAGCAGTGATAACTGTCTATCTATATAATACAACAGGGTAGACATCCTCGGCACTCCAGCATTTGTGCAACTACAAATCCCATAAGGCATTGCACACACATGGGTCAGAGGCACTCAGAGGCAAAGGCATGATGAGATTTACAGGGAGTGCCAATGTTGCCTACCCCCTGCAACAGAATGAGATGACATCACAAATCTGTATGAAGAACTTACTTGGGGGGGATATTTTCAGGTCTACTTGACCAGTCAGAAACCCAGTCTGCACTTTTCTTTACAGCTTCCTCTTCTTTCTCTACGTCTTCATCTTCTTCCTCTGACTGAAATAAACACAATTGTTGGAGTTAGAAATTTACAGAACAAATGGAAACCTAGAGATGTGCCCAGAAGCCCAAACAAGGATATATTTTTTAGTATAATGGGTCATCTTGACCCAATGTGGTAATTCCAGGACACAAGTGATCTTCTGACTGATTGATACAAGCTATTAGCACATGATTGTGTAGTCCTCATACAACTGAACTTCTAATGTCTTGAATACCATCCAGCAGTTAGTTCAGCTATGGAGCCAAACTCACAGATCTACTTGTACATATGCTTGGCCAATCTGCCAAATTCCGGGCAACCAGAGTCAGGTTGGGAGGTCAATTCTTATAAAGCAAAAGTAATGAGCTTATCAGGAGACCAATTTCCAGGATGTCCCGGATGTCTGTGATCACCCATGAAGTCTGGAAAGGATATTACTAAGTGTTCCTCAGCCGGATCGTACTGTGAACCTCAATACAAAAGCTTCCCAATGCCTTGACTTACGTCAACTCCTCCTTGTAGCATGTACATGGTCATCATTGCCTACGCCGGAATAAATGATTCAGGAAGCCTCTTTTGTCTTTAAGTAATTCAAAATACAACTATGCCACCAAGTTTTATTATTTGCTGAACCTGCCAATTGTGCATTTTAGATGCAATAGCCATGAACCTGTCAGAGGTGCCCCAAGAAACACAGGTACCGAAAGCTGAGGACCACCAACGGAAGGACGTCTTCAACCAACAAAAGGAAGACTTGGGCCGTTATTCCCAGTAAAGAGCACATGACAGACACACAAAATAGGCAGGCTCTCCAAATTGGACTTTTCTTTGAACTTTTTATAGGTGGTACATTTGTGAATACGTTTGAAATGAGATATGTTCAGAAAAATGAATGATAACATTACAATAGATATGTAAGAGGGCATATCCAGGGTACATCCCATCGGTACAGAAAGGCACCGGTACACCTTGTGGGAAAACAATCTGTGTTCTTTGTCCTTGCATAAAAACAATAAGCGGGCCCAAGCTGCTGAATCATTGCGAGAAGGCGTTTTGGTCGCAGACAGGAAAACATTACAGCAACCAGTGAGGAAGATTTCATCATGCTTTTCTTACCAAAGACCAAAACATAAATCTTATGGGAGAGCCGAATGAAAATAAAATGATATTACATCAGAATAAGCAATATCAAACCAAAGAACGTGAGCAGAGTCTGAAGGGTGTTTGTTAAACTCAGCACTTCAGCTTAGGATTCAGCACACTTATTAAATCCATGCAAAAAAGAAAACAAGAGCAGCGCCCTCTCTTGGTGTAGTGCCGCTTTTTTTATTTATTAAAAAATAGATATACAAGCAAAATGTATACTCGCAAAAGTCCGTCGATATAAAGCTTGTAGGGTCACGTATACAATAAGAAACATTTGCCACTAAGCCGAATGGACATCAGAGCATCATCAAAGGCAATGGATAAGTTGGGGTAACGCGTTTCATTGGTTAAACCATCTTCATCAGAGCCAAAACCACAAGGCAAAAGACGCTATTTAAATATACAGTATGTGTTTAAATGATACACGCCCACACACTGATGATACAAGCCTGCCTATTCCTACGTAGGTTGCCTCCTCATCCGCACCCCAAGGTTCTGGGAATCCGTGGAAGCCATATGTGGAAGGATATATATTGGACATTCATAAAAAGAGTAGCCCTCCCCTGAAGAAGCGGCGTTTCCACAAAACGCATCTGAATGTTTCCAACACCTTCTTGAAACTATTCCACGAAGAATTGAGGCAGTTCTGAAGGCAAAAGGGGGTCCAACCCGGTACTAGCAAGGTGTACCTAATAAAGTGGCCGGTGAGTATGTACATTATATATATATATACATATATATATATATAAACGCAGTGTTATACCCCCTTCCTGTCCTGGCCATTTTTCAGTGTTAAGCGCTGTGGTACTTTGACTGACATTTATTTCATCATACAACGCTCTACTGAAATGAATTTTATACCGTTTTTGGGGACAGAAAGAGCTTTCTTTTGGAGGTATATAATCACCATGTAATTTTTTTTTAACTATATAATGAAAAAAGTACCATAAATGTAAAAAAAAACAACAAAGTTTCCCTACATTATGTTATAAAACATTTATTCTTACGCATAGTTTTGGTAAAATATAAAAGTCCGGGTCACGTCGGGTAAATAGACAGTGATTGTTGTGAGGAGATGTCACCAGCATACCAATATGACAAACAAGTCAAAGTTCAGTGAATCTTTATTTTAATTTTTTAGAAGTCACTTAAAGTAGCGTCAAATAGACAGTGACACCAAACATGTCAAGCCTTAAAATTGCAAAAAACGCCCATAGGCGACGATTAAAACGCTTTTACTGCTCATCAGTTTAGTGTTATCAGTGATTAATGGCTCTAAAATTATTGTTCTCACTCCGACGTTTGCGGCGATATGTAACATGTGCGGCACAATAGGCGCAATCGTCATTTTTGCGCGTAGGCGCACCCGACGCATATCTGCGTGTGTATGTGGGGGGCGGGAACTTAAAAAAAAAATTTACTACTGCGTAGAAAATTGTCATCGACTGGAATGACTGTACTGAGTTTGAAGAGGCAGACACGGTTCCTGGTCTCTGGAATTTGCCTCTAAAACACTGGGAACTGAAACCCATCAAAATTTAAGATTCTTAATTTTGATATTATTATTATACAGGATTTATTTAGCGCCAAGTTTGCGCAGCGCTTTCGAAAAATGGAGGGAGACAGTATAGGTACAATACAATATCAATACAAGAGGGTTAGGAGGGCCCTGTTCGTGAGAGCTTACAATCTAGTAGGAGGGGCAATAATGTTTCTATGTGAATCGGGCTGAACTAAAACAACGGCATTTCCAACCATCATACCAACACCAGTTTCTAGCTGATCTTCTAAACAAGATCGCGTTTACTGTCTGTGTGAGCCAGGCTGCGTCAAAGCTCCCCCAAATCATTGAGAGCTACTGTATGACATTATGACTGGTAGCAGAGGACACATGGAGGTCCTCATTTTTTCTCTGACTCTTACAACCACGGGGACCCTATAAAAGTTGAACTCCCGGAGAAAAAAAAACAAAGCTCCCCCTGCAGTGGTGATGTCCCCGCACTGCAAGGATTACATTGTTGTCCAGGTCTAGGGTACCTATGCTCCAACGGTCGGAAGCCCATTGACATCATCAAGTACAATGCATGGCCCATAGCCCTGCACTATATGTGAGGACACCGAGGGACAGTCCACAAGACAGAGAGTAGGGAAGGCGAGGAGAGCGCTGACCGATATGGCAGAGGGGATCAGGTAAGTAAAACTGCTTTACTCAATATACCCCTAGGCCTAAATAAGCATTTACCTCTTGCAGTGTGGGAGCAGCATAACTGCCTACTGGTAAAAAGTGCCAGCTCTTAGAAACTACTGCCAGTGCGGTGAGAGAATTCCAACGCCATTGAAGAATAACTCCAGGAATTAAAAAAAAGAAAAACCAAGTTACCCTTGCAGAAGGGCTACCCCTGTACAGCAAGGGTTAAGTGCTTGTTTTATTTAGGGGGGCCCATATAAAGCAGATGTACCCATATCTGGTGGGATTGCCCTGGTATTGTACCCTTTTGGAATAAGGTTTTTGACACCACGTAGTGACGTCCTCGACTCCATCGCGCACCCCACAATTAGCCTTGCTCTCCATGATCCCGGGTTCCCTCTCAGCTGTTAAAAGATTCGGTTGTGCTACTTTCTCACAGAGGCCAGACAGGTCATCCCAAGGGATTGGAAGTCGCAATGCGTGCCTTCATTGGGGGAATGGGATACTGAGCTAGATCAACTGATGCGCATGGAGGAGCTGAAGGCCCAGTTGTATGATAGAAATGCTCAGTTCTCCCGAGGGACCTGGTGACCAGACAACCACAAGTTTACACCACCAGACAAAAACCACTGTCTCCTTGCCCCTCTGATATCTATGTATGCATCTCAATGCTGATTACTGTGTCATGTACCCTATATGCTGCTGAAAACTTAATGCTCAGTTCTCCATTTGGTCCGCCTGGATCCTTTTTTGAGGACCCTCCACAATTCCCTCAACTTTTTGCTTAAATGATCATGAGTTCTCCGATCCTTATCGAAGTTCGGGGTGGGGACAACCTTGTGGTCTCTCAGGTGCCTTTGGCACATTGTTAGTTTCTTACTTTCTTCTCCTGTTTATTACTTTTTCCTGTTCACTCTCAGGTACTTGTTAGAGGACTCCACTTAGGAGAATGGGTCCTGGTTTTGTGGAGGTGGCGGGTGTTGCTGTGACCCCCTGCATTTCTGTCAGATAATGCACCACTCCACACAGAAAATTGTTGCAATTACAAATGTTTTGGCATTCACGTGTTTATTTCTTTTGTTTGTATTGGACACCAAAAAGTGGAGGAAAAAAAAAGCCAAACCTGACACATTTCACGCAAAACTCCAATCTGACTTTTTTATGTTTCTGTGTCAGCAGTGGGGTCCTCCTGGGTCTCCTACCATAGCGTCCCTTTTCATTCAGATGGCGACGTATAGTGCGAGGCAAACGCACTCATCAATTCGTTACCAGCTTTACAGCAAGGTGCACATGGAATAGTTTAGAGTTAGGACCGCACTATAAGAGGTGCCTTGACGCGGCTGTGCAGCTTTCACATTTTCTGCAGAAGACGTGTATCTAAACCTCTGTTTTTAACCTTAGTAGTTAGACGGGTTTTTTTTTTTGCATGCTGGCTGGTGAGTGTGCTGGGAAACCTTTTGCTGTTTTACTGTTTGAAGCCCTTCCGTGTGCACCTTGCTGTAAAGCTGGTAACGAATTGATGAGTGCGTTTGCCATTTGTTTTGCTTGACTGATTTGGTGCAGTGATGCATGGGGGGGTCTCAGCTGCCATTGTGATGTGCGGGGTCCCTTGTGCGTACCTGTGCCTGTAAGGAGGTTGGGCTTCCTCCTGACAAACCTGCACCCAATTTCATCTTTTGC